GGATTTGCTGTAAAGGTTGAAGTATTTCAAAACATTTTGCGATTAAGAAATAAATGTCGGAGTAATAAACAACTCAATGGACAGGTAGTGATCATAACGGGCGCTAATCATGGTATCGGCAAAGAGACGGCGTATCAACTGTCACTCAGAGGGGCAAAGGTTTGCATATTAATTAGTGATCAGGGTATGAATTTATGGGCAATTGTTTTAATTTATGTTTAGATAATCATTGGCTGTAGGGATGAGTTGAGGGCAGAGAATGCCATCAAAGAGATTGTGTCTCTGAATCCAAACGCAAACATAATTCACATTAAACTCGATTTGTCTTCTCTTCAGTCGATTCGCGCATTCGTTCAACAAATCTATGAAAACGAGACGAAAATTGATTTACTTATAAATAACGCCGGAATAGGTGCGGACACTGAAGGACAAACAGAGGATGGCTTTGAGTTGTCTTTCGGGACAAACCATTTGGGTATTAAATGACATATATTTATAAAATATATTTTCTAATATAAGTGAATATTGTTTAGGACACTATCTCTTAACACTACAATTACTGCCATTACTGCGAAAGGCACCGAAAGCCCGGATTATAAACGTGTCGTCGAGTGTCTACGCGTCCGGAAAAATAAATTTCGAGAATATAAACCTACGTAACGGTGCTTTCGAAATGTGGACAGCCTACTCACAGAGCAAGTTGGCTAACGTTTTGTTCACCCGCGAGTTGGCTAAACGTTTGGGTGACAACACAACAATCAGTGCCTATTCACTACATCCTGGAATTATAAACACGGAATGGTACCGACATATTGAGTCCCCTGTTGGCAAGTTTATCGCAAAAAATTTCACCAAAATGTTTGCCATATCTATCGAGAGGGGCACTCAGACCACCCTTTACTGCGCTCTCGAGGAATCACTGGACAACGAATCCGGATTTTATTATGAGTTTGTGTTTCATATAATTTTCATTATATATATTTATTAATAGTTTGTTTGGTTTTCACAACAATTGTTTACTCGTGGATAACATGTATGCGAACGCGACGGACGATAAAAGTGCGGAAAAGTTGTGGGAATTGAGCGCAGATTTGGTTAAATTGGAGGATAAATACAGACTTCCCAAACATATCTGATATTCTGGTTTCAAATGACTTAATTTCATATTTTATCATTTTATTATCTAAAAATTATAACTATATATTAAACTATATATAACTGTAACTATATAATATATAGAATATATATATATAACTATGTTTGAAAACTATTATTTTAAAAATACATTTATAATTTATTTAATACAAAATACTTGTATGAAAATATATAATAAAAATGTGATTTTTTGATTTATTTAATGCTATTATTACGATAATCATTATTTAATACTAAAATGCAGCCATTGCCATATACTCCTTGCATGAAATTAAATTTATATAAATAATATACTCACATTTGATTTTAAAAAAATTGTGAGCTAGCAACATTCATTAAACCAATCCATCAGAATTTTCTAAAAATATACTAACCTTTTTAATTAAATCTTGTATATTATTAATTTCTGACTCCATTCAATTACCGTATTCATTATTGCATAATAATATCCAAGTAATTAAATTAAAAATATTAAATCAAATTATAAAGTTTTGTATTTTTGTAGTATTGATATTAGCATCTTATCATAATTTTCTGATTCAGTTGAAAGGAATATTGATAGTAATGAAGTAATATTGTTTCCTGTATTTGATTGTATTGTAGATAAAAGTATAAATTACATGCCTAAACCTTTATGATAAATATTAATGCACCAAAGTTTAGTGCAATTTAATGGCTGTTTTTAAGTGCTTCAAGAATTGCACTCAATTTGTACTTTTGAAAGTTTGAGTATAAAATTCATTGCGCTTTATTACATTGAAAATACTTCATACAAATTATTTTAAAAACATTCATTTACAAAGTAGTTTTTATATTTATTAATTGCAACTTAAAAGTGTTTATAATTACAAACCGTTTTGACATTTATAAAATATACTTGTTTAATTTTTTAAAAACTTGAGTGTAAAGTTTACACTGTACAGCAAATGTATGATAATGACTACTTTTATAGAAAAAGTTGGAATGAACCTGGCCATTATTATAGACCTTGCAAAAAATTTGCTCGGATTGAGGAATAAGTATGAGGGTGATACGCGATTGGATGGACAGGTAGTAGTAATAACGGGCGCTAATCAGGGTATTGGCAAAGAGACTGCATATCAACTATCACTTCGTGGAGCAAAGGTATGAATATTACTTAATTTATTGTTTATTATTTGCATTAATAGACAAATGTTTTAATTTTATGTTTAGATAATCATCGGTTGTAGGGATGAGTTGAGGGCAGAGAATGCCATCAAAGAGATTGTGTCGAGGAATCCAAACGCAAACATAATTCACATTAAACTCGATTTGTCTTCTCTTCAGTCGATTCGCGCATTCGTTCAACAAATCTATGAAAACGAGACGAAAATTGATTTACTTATAAATAACGCCGCAATCGCTTCAGACATTGAGGGGAAAACAGAGGATGGCTTTGAGTTGATTTTCGGGACAAGCCATTTGGGTATTTAGTTGCATATATTTATTTAAAATAAGTTATTCACTTATATAACTGAATATTGTTTAGGACACTATCTCTTAACACTACAATTACTGCCATTACTGCGAAAGGCACCGAAAGCCCGGGTCATAAACGTGTCATCTTTGGCCTATGCGTCTGGAAGAATACATTTCGAGAATATAAACCTACGTAACGGTGCTTTTAATATGATGGCAGCCAACTCGCAAAGCAAGTTGGCTACCGTTTTGTTCACCCGCGAGTTGGCTAAACGTTTGGGTGCCAACACCACAATCAATGCCTATTCACTACATCCCGGACTTGTAGACACTGAATGGTACCGACATATTGAGTCCCCTGTTGTCAAGTTTATCGCAAAAAATGTCACCAAAATGTTTGCCATGTCTGTCGAGAGGGGCACTCAGACCACCCTTTACTGCGCTCTCGAGGAATCACTGGACAGTGAATCCGGATTTTATTATGAGTTTGTGTTTCATATAATTTTCATTACATATATTTATTGATAGTTTGTTTGGTTTTCACAGNGGAATCCAAACGCAAACATAATTCACATTAAACTCGATTTGTCTTCTCTTCAGTCGATTCGCGCATTCGTTCAACAAATCTATGAAAACGAGACGAAAATTGATTTACTTATAAATAACGCCGGAATTGGTTTTATTCCGGAGTTGAAAACAGATGATGGTTTTGAGATGACATTTGGTACCAATCATTTGGGTATTTAAACATTTCTTTGATTAAAATTATATATATTTTTTCATAAACTATAACTGAATATTTTTAGGACACTATCTCTTAACACTACAATTACTGCCATTACTACGAAATGCTCCAAAGGCCCGGGTAATCACTTTATCATCGGGTATCCACATGTTAGGCAAAATACATTTCGATAATCTAAACCTCCGGAACGGTGTGTACGACCATCAGGAGGCCTACGCCCAGAGCAAGTTGGCTAACGTGTTGTTCACCCGCGAGTTGGCTAAGCGTTTGGGAGCCAACACCTCAATCAATGCCTATTCACTACATCCCGGAGTTGTGGCCACCGATTGGTTTTGAAACACCGACTCCCGTGTCGCCCAGATTATGGCCAAAGCTATGCAAAAAATGTTTGCCTTATCTGTTGAGAGGGGCTCTCAGACCACCCTTTACTGCGCTCTCGAGAAATCACTGGACAGTGAATCCGGATTTTATTATGAGTTTGTATTTGAATTGATTTTGTTTTATATATTTACTGATAGTTTGTTTGGTTTTCACAGCAATTGTTTACTCGTGGATAACATGTATGCGAACGCGACGGACGATAAAAGTGCGGAACTGTTGTGGCAATTGAGCGCAGATTTGGTTCAATTGGAGGATAAATACAGACTTCACAAACATATCTGAGATTTCTTGGTTTCAAATGACTTAATCTGATATTTTCTTATTTTACTATTTAAGTTATAAAAATTATATTTTTTATTAATTTCAATTATTAAATCATTACTCAATTAAAATTTATAAAACTGAATAATTACATTTGTTTAATATTTTTAGAAGTTTTAATATTAATCAGTTATATACAATTTTATATAATTATTTTACAAAATTATTATTTTAAAAATATATTTATAATTTATATACTATAATTAAACAATTTGATTAAAAAATTTAAATGAAAATATGATTTCTTAACTAATGCTATTATTTATTACGATAATCATTATTTAATCTGTACAGTACTAAATTTCAACCATATAGTCCTTGCACAAATTAGATTAAAAATAAAATTTGAACAGAAAGGTGAATATTTTAATATTTATATAAACACTATATTTATATTTAATTTGACAAAATTGTGAGCAAGCAAAATTAATTGAACCTGTTTTTCAAAATTTTTCTTAAAATATGTTAATCATTTTATATAAAATTTTGTAGATTAATAATTTTTGACTATATGTAATTATAGCATACTGATATCCAAGTATAAATAATTAGATAAATAATACTAAATCAAATTATAAGTTTTTGTAAAATTTGTAGTATTAGGCTAATACTATTATCTACCTATAATATTTTCTTATTGAGTTGAATGGATCATTGAATATGATTTAATACTGTATGATATTTTACAGTATTGCAAACAACTGTGTTATAAAGGTAAACAGGTTTATTATATTGGGTGTCCCATCGTATCAGTACGACTTTTAAATTAATTTTAAAATATTTACTATTATATTTTATTGACAAAAACTATACCAAAATGTTGGAAATTTATTAGAATTTTATGTGAGATTCATAAAATTTTCATAAAATCCATACCCTGGTCATAATTGTAGGTTAATTGCATGCACGTCTGTTTTTTATGCAAAAAAATCGTTAATTTCTTAGAGCGCTATGACTACAAAGCATTGATGCGAGCATTCAGTGACAGTTGTACTGTAGTATTAATATGGTATTACTCAAAACAGACATGCATGCGGTAAAACTAAAATTATGACCAGGGTAGGCATTTGGTGAATATTTAATGAATTGCACATAAAATTTTAATAAATTTCCAACATTTTGTATAGTTTTTGTTAGAAAAATAAAATTGTAAATATTTTTTATTTAACTTAAAAGTCGTACTGATACGGTGGGACACCCGATAGTTTAGTGCAACTGCACCAAAGTTTAGTGCAAATTAAGGCTGTTTTCATGGGTTTTGAAGTCACACTCATTTTGCACTCACTTTGAAAGTTTTGGTATAAACTGCAAGGGTTTTATTAAATTGCAATTACTTCATAGGAAATATTTTAAAAACATTCATTTAAAAAGTAGTTTTAATATTGTTCAAGTTCAGTTTCAAAGTGTTAATTATTACAAACTCTTTTGACAATTATAAAATATATAATCACTTGTTAAATACACAATTGTGTGTAAACGTATGAAAATGACTACTTTTATAGAAAAGGTTGGAATGAACCTGGCCATTATTAGAGAGCTCGCAAAAAATTTGCTCGGATTGAGGAATAAGTATTCAGGCAATACACGATTGGATGGACAGGTAGTAGTAATAACGGGCGCTAATCGGGGTATTGGCAAAGAGACTGCATATCAACTGTCACTCAGAGGAGCAAAGGTATGAATATTACTTAATTTATTGTTTATTATTTGCA